TGTGACTCATTCACCGAATTCTAGTTCCGTGTATGTTTGCCCTAGGAGTTCGCGCAGGGATCGCGCTACTCAAATAACTTGAATTCTATCTAATCATTCACTGAATGTTTCAAATCACGTGTAATTTCGTTCCTGTTGCGATCCGTGATGAATTGGTTTTTGTTCGTGTTGATAAGGCAAATCAAGGCCGCAACTTTTGATCTTTTCGCTGACTAGCATAAAAAGTGAAAGTTTCCGCATTCCATGATGGATACAGGATCATAAGATATTCTCAAAACATCTCTTATAGGTTCGGCAAAAGAAATGCGACTATACGACGTCGTTACGCAACCTCGAACGCATTTCCGATTCAATTCACGAACAAAGGAGCATCGGAAGCGGTAAGTCGTACGCATAAAATTAAAATTATCCCGGATCTTGAATCGTAAATTTTGCAGGATCCGCTCGCGAACCGCCTGCGAATCCCCCACCTTACCAGCCGACGGCGCCTCCACCGTATGAGGACGACGACGGTCGTTATGCGATTACTCAAGAAACGGTATGTCTAAAATGTACTTTTCCCGAATAAGAAACTCAGGCTACTGCTCTAGGATGAAGTGATCGCCCCTGTGTTGTGCTTAATGCGTGCGAATGGTTGTGCTGATTGGCCTCAACGTCCCGCGGGAATTGGCTCCGGCGTAATTCTTCTAGCACAGCAACTTATTGGCGGTGGTGAAAAGAGGGAATCACCGACAAGTTCTCAGTGAGTTTTTCGGCGATTATATGGACATGTTCCATTTCAAGAGCGAGAATCAAGAAAATCTTTTTGGATCATGCCTGAGAATCGCATTAACTGAAAGGGGAGCACCCGGCACCAATAATTTTTCGAGTGATTTCGCCAAAATGTGGTCGCCTCGCCAGGCAGTTTGCCAGCTACGAATTGATTGAGCCAAATTTTAAATTTTTAGGCTCATAGCTTTTATAAGCGTAAGCAGTCGGAAACATGCCAAGAGTTCTTTACAATAAATGCGACTGCGAAGAGTTCTCAATAATCGCTTGATACTAAATCGCACAGCTATCAAATTGCAGTGTTGAATTTCATTAAAATTCTTAATATGGAAAACATTTACAATGCGAAAAATGTATTTTTGAATCTGTAGAAGGTATATAGTCGTCCTCACTTCGTCTCACTAGTCGCTCGATGGTTAAATCTGAACTTGAACTAGAGCAGGCCGACTGCGGCAGAGCGCGGCACGTCAACCTTGAATTCTTTGACTTTCTTTGTCGTTGCATGCTATTTTTTCTCTCAGCAACAAGAAAATTGTACTTGTAACTAATAAAGTTGTTGAAACACAAAAATAGCATGAAACGACGAAGAGAATATAGAAAAACATGA